AAGTTCTTGATGATGTTCTCCCCGGCTACGCCAGATCTGGAGGCACCTTCACCAGGCCAGTTCGTAGGTACGGCAAGCACGTGTTCGCCCACACTACGATGTTCCCCTGCGTCAAGCAGCCGCCTGGCGGTCATAAGGATGCCTACTACATCCTCCATCACATGCGGGCGATCGTACGGGACCATAATCACCTTCTGCTACCAAATAATCTCAAAGATTGGGCCACAAGATTGTCGGAAATCCAGGACGCGGACATCAGACAAGAATTCTTTCGCATCCAGTCGGAGTTTGCGGAAATCATCCATCAAGATGTCCTTCGTACCTCGGGGCAGTTCTACCTCAGATATCAACCGTCCAACAGTGAGATAGACACAACGCTACAAATGCAGGCTGACAACGCCCGCGATTTCATGACCATCACGAGAGACGGCGGCTTCATCCAAGCTCCGGTCCCTGAGTCGAGTCGAAAGTAGTGATGCTATGTGTAGTTCTGAAACATCGATTGGCTCATGTTGTAATTAAACTTTAATGAACTTGTATGTCTCTTTGGTTTAGACAGTCGTTCAACTTATATGTAATCGATGCTATTTATTAGTAGGACCATGAATCGTGCTATTAATGTGTTGCTTTTCTCTTTCAATCCTTTTGTTGCATACTTATATATTGCTTATGTATTGTCTGTGAATTGTTACTAACGTTTTGTTTGGCTAGTGCATAGAGATGCCGTCGTATGTCGTGTACAAGGGTAAGGTTCCGGAGTCTACGACGACTGGGAGGAGTGTCGGAGACAGGTTCACCGTTTCAGCGGTAACAGTTACAAAGGGTACACCACTAGGGCGGAGGGGGAAGTTAGATACGCGCGCTATCTAGCGGGAGAGAGGAGGGAGCGTTGGAGGAACCGGATGAAGACCAGTTTCATCGCGATTATGCTCATCGTGATGACCGCAACTCTTTTCTATGTGATGGTAGTTTAGATGATCGATATCGACTTGTAATGTGAAGACAAACTCGCTACTCGCGGTTTCGAGACTTGTAATATTCTAACTTTGTTCGGTTTTTAAATTCGGACACTAATATGATGAATTGTATTCGGAGACTAATCTTCTATTGTATTCGATGAATCTGCTGTTGCTGTGTGGTGCTAGCTATATTCTGTCCAATAATATATTTTGTAATCTGTGAAAATATCAGAAAAGAAAAAAAATAATTCCTAATATTCATACTAGTGGCACACCACCACATAGTGCGTCATTAGTAAGCCAGAGCACACTAATGGTGCATCATCCACCAGTGCGCCATTAGTATGCTAAAGCACATGGGTAAATATGACCCCCTGGGAGGCATACTAATGGCACACCGTGGGCTATACTAATGACGCACCACAGGTGCGCCATTAGTAAGAATACTAATGGCATCATACTAGTGGTGCACCTGTAGTGCACCATTAGTAGACATAACAGATGCGCCATTAGTATGCCTTTTTCTAGTAGTGTATTCTAGGTGATGCCATGCTACTATGCTGAACCGCCTGCAAATGATGCTTGTAGATCATGGTCACACAACTAGAGCATGAAGATCATCCTCATCCTTACGGCAACAAACATGACACGTTAGGAAGAAACATCTTTTTTTTTTGCAAGGAAAGAAATATCCATATTATTTGCGCCAGTCTCGTCCTGCTATGTTTTTCTTTTTTCTTTTTTAAAAGAGGTTGAAGCCTCGGAATGCATCAAAAGATGCACTCGGTCATCTTAAATTATTCAATAAAGATTTGCAAAAAATATACATCAAACATCTCGAAGCTACCACTTCACACCTATAAACTCGACACTGAGGATGTCATCGCAACGCCCCATCACCTAGAACGTGATCATCACCGAGCCGCCCGCATGGCGTACCGGAGCACACTTCCGGTCCAGTAGACTTAAGCGCGCACAACATGCACACACTTTAGAAGCCGCCACCACCATCAAACAGTCGACTCATCTTCAAGGTAGAGATTCACATTATCCTTGCCAAGCCAGCCGTCGACACCGCCATGGCGCCAAATGACGCCTCCACTGTGTTCATCGATCAAGATGCATCCGTAGCCGAGACTCCACTGTGCCATGTCGTCGAGACCCGTCGTTGAAGCAGTGTATAGGACACCGCTCCACTTCCTGACCCCTCCAGCGGCTGTTCCAAAACGATGCTCCCATGAGGGAAAACTACACTAAGCGTCGCCATCGTTCGATCCAGGAGACCAGGGTCTACGGTTTCCTCCAGAGTAGCCCGAGCGAGGAGACGAAACCTGCAATGATGATACCTTCATCAAGGTAATAGCGTGTAGACGCCGCCGTCGCCCGCCATGACCGAAGTCGGCTCAGTTTTCATTGATAGTCACGCCTACCCTTCCTCGTCGTCGGCAGTACCCGGCGTGCTAGTTCTCCCCCTAACTAACTACTGGTTATCGTGCTGCCATGTAGCAGCAGCCTCCGGTAGACACTACACATCACCTCCCAGCCTCAAGCCACAACAGATCCCACTCAGTCGGCATGTCGACCCGAAGAACGAGGGCACCGTGACCATAGCACCATCGCCGGCTGCCCTCGCAGCCACCAGCACCCCGACCACCACCGCTCCGAGGCCGCTGCCCTAGGATCAAGCTCCGCCTCACTCAAGGCCAACGTCCAGGGTCGCAACCGCGCTATAGGCCGGAGATCTCCCACAAGGACAAGGAGACGAGGGCCAATTGATCGCCCTCTACCGGGCAGGGCTTTTGCCTGCTAGCCTCCTCCGACGGCAACGGGTGATTGAAAGGGAGGAGTGGGGGCGGCGGCTAGGGTTCGCTCGAGCCGCCCCGCGGGGAGTGGCACAAATGCGAGCGGTAACCCTATGAGGTGGACATGGGATGCTGATACCATGCTATGTTGGACTAGTAGAAAAAACATCTTTTTTGTGTGGAATGTATGATAGCAAGATGTCCAAATTTTCCTACAACCATATGTTGAGTGACCCAATAGACGGTCACTCCATAACCCGCTACATGCATAGCCATGAAGTATGCGCTCTGAGCAAAAAACAAAGCTAGACTTTTCACCGTACCAAACCACAAAATCTTCACTATAAATTATAGGAAGACGCATCCACATCATGAGGACAAAATGTGTGTCGAATAAGATCTTCATTCACTCTGAGCGGATTATGGACCAAAAGGCCAAAACCCTACTTTAGGCGAGTCCTGAAGTGCTTTGCCACAAAATTTTGAGCCCACATTCCCAAGGAATCCACGTGCAATAATCCTACACATACGAATGGTTTACGCAAGTTTTACGTAATCTTCCAACTAATAAGCCCCCCCCCCCTAATTTCACCAGGGTGGGCCTCTCTATCGCCCTATGTCCAATCATAACCCCCTATGTTGATCTGTCTGTTAAACATGTAACTAATCTCCTGTAGGTCTAGCATTGCGCATCCACATGTCTCCAAGTATTAATCCTCCAACCTAAGTGAAACTCCCCAAATTACTATAACTTTTGCAATTATAATAATGAGTAAACAATTAGTATTAATAAGAAAATATCTACTATATCACTAAGCTCCATAGGGAGAGAAGGCATCTCTCAACTAAGGACATTGGTTTTGGATTGGACTCTTAATTTTGACTTGGTCAACAATTTTTCAAGGAACTCTCTCATTCAAGTGAGGTGTTCAATTTTAAATTTTGTTCACGATTTTGACTGGTCAATGATTTCTCAAATCAATCGGCAGCAGCCAACTTATAAAATATATCAGTCTCGCGCATGCTCTCATAACCTGACAAAAAGAACACCAACATGTAGTACTATAGAACCAATATGATTTTGGATTGAGTTTATAATTTTTGAGTTTGTCAATCTCATGTAACTCTCGCATTCAAGTGAGCTGTTTAATTTTGAATTTGATTCATGATTTTGACTGGTCAATGATTTCTCAAATCCCCGCAACAACCAGCTTATAAAAATACACGAGTCTCGCACCCTCTCACCACTTGACAAAACATAACTGCAAACATGCGACACTGTAACACCAATACAATACATGTGGTCACGGCTGCAAGAAACTTACCTACATATGTGCGGGTTAGTTTGCAAATAACATATTATTATACCCCAGAAAGAACCATCAAAATACCGCATTATAAAAAAAAGGAAACACACTTCATCATCTCCCCTCACAGTCACGCTAAACCTTTTTTATGAGATCCCAACAACACCAACCGCGCAGCATAGCACGCCCAATTCTTGTAGTATATTATATAGCTAAACTCATAGATGCAAATGCTTAACTGATTTTTTTGCATCTGTAACCGTAGAAAATAAATAGCAATTGGGAGAATACGATACTTTGCCTTCCCAAAATAGTTGCAATTCTACTTTTGTCCCAAATCAAACTTCTCTAAGTGACCAAGCTTATAAAATTGGCTTGGTTCATAAAGGATCTTATGTGTTTTTTTTGCAATTTTGGTGTATATTTTTATGAACTTGGTCAAACTTATTATTTTTTCTAAGAAGAAGTCTTACCTAGTACAAAGCTAGAATCACAATTAATTCAAAATAGAGGGAGTGCAATGAGATTGTAATTTACATACTACCTTTGTTTCTAAATATAAGTCTTTTACAGATTCCAATATAGACTACATACAGAGCAAAATGAATGAATCTATACTCTAAAATGCGTCTATATACATCTGTATGTAGTTCGTATTAAAATATCTAAAAGGTTTTATATTTAAAAACAAAGGGAGTATGTTGGCATTAATTACATCCCTTCTTTACCATTGTTCTTTAGTGCTCTTTAATTGACTTCCTCATTTGGATGAAGGGATAAGTCTTAACTTTGAAGTACCTCCTTTTATAGTCATATAATCTTAGGCGCACATTTAAAACTCTCTGAACAATGAAGATGATTACAAGCCTATATAAAGTTCTGTGTCCAATAGCTGATGGCACACACTTGTGTTGCACCCATCATATCGTCTGATGACGATCGTCTCATCATTTGCTGATCTTCTCGCACTCCTCACCATCCTCATATGCCTCCTCCACCGTTGTGGCGCCAACTATGAAGTCGAGTCGGTCGACGGGTCAGGGAATTTGCTGTCGGCTAAGCTGACACTTGTAGGCGGGACGACACAGTTCGGGCCTGATGTCAAGCAGCTCAACCTGACTGCAAGGTAAGTGTGTTTGATCTTCATCCTGATTCGGGAGTTTAATTCATGTTTTTTTCTCTCTACTACTTAAAAAGAATATAGCATTCCATGTTTCATTTTTCCCCCACCATCCCTTCATCCAATCTTCCTGGTGTGAAATCAATCGCTTTCATTTACTTATCTTCTGAATCAATTTCACTTTAATGTATTTACCAACATTCTCACCAAAATATAAGATAAGTGACATGATTTGATAAACATTTATTTGCACAATGGTATTAATATGGGCAAATAAATTAATCACAAGCTTACGTACTAGTGAAATATTAATACCCTATTGAAACGCACGAGCATTGTCCTATCGTTTAAAAGAGGTACAATCACTGACTTGTACATCACCTAATGCACACAACTCGTATGCCCACTGTTTTAATTTTGATATGACCGGCGGCAGCCTAGAGACGGACAACCAGCTCCACGTGCGCATCACCGACGCCGACCATCAGCGGTGGGAGGTCCCCCAGGACGTCATCCCACGCCCAGAGCCGGCGCTGGAGGACGTCTTGCTACATTACTCGGGCATGAGCAATGCTTCCTTGCCCGGCAGCAGCACCATGTCCAGCGAGTCTTCAGACCTGACCTTCACCATCCACACCGCCCCGTTCCGCTTCACCGTCTCCCGCCGCTCCACCGGCGACGTCCTCTTCGACACCTCCGCCACACTCGTCTTCAAGAACCGGTATGATACTACACTGTCTTCGACACCTACGACACTCGGCGTAGCTAGTTGATACGTAAGTAGCCAAAGTGGTGATGGGCATGGAACTATAATGCAGGTACTTGGAGGTGACGTCGGCGCTGCCAGCCAAGGGGGCATCTTTGTACGGGCTGGGCGAGCAGACAAAACGGACATTCCGGCTCCAACAGAACGACACGTTCACGATCTGGAACGAGGACCTGGAGAGGTCGGACCTACTGGACATCAACCTCTACAGCTCGCACCCATTCTACATGGACGTGCGCCCCGGCGGCGCTGCCCACGGCGTGCTGCTCCTCAACACCAACGGGATGGACATAAAGTACGGCGGGTCCTACATCACCTACAAGGTGATCGGCGGCGTGCTCGACTTCTACTTCTTCGCCGGGCCCTCCCCGCTCGCCGTCGTCGACCAGTACACCCAGCTCATCGGCCGCCCTGCCCCCATGCCGTACTGGTCATTCGGTACGTGCGGTCAATCGTCTAGCTAGTTCTTGGCAGGCATATATCAATCTGCTCTGCTCACCGGATCCACTTTTCTCTTGTAATGCAGGGTTCCACCAATGCAGGTATGGCTACAAGAATGTGGCTGACCTGGAGGGCGTGGTCGCGGGCTATGCCAAGGCCAAGATTCCATTAGAGTCGATTTGGTCGGACATCGACTACATGGACGGCTACCAGGACTTCACACTGGATCCGGTGAACTACCCGGCGAAACTGCTCCGGCCGTTTGTCGACCGGCTCCACAATAGCAGCCAGAAATACGTGGTCATCATTGATCCGGCGATCAAAAAAGAAGCAGCACCTCCTCAAAATGAGGCCGTGGGTTTGTTCCTCCAGCGAAACGGCACCAACTATGTCGGCCGGGTGTGGCCAGGCGAGGTCTACTACCCGGACTTCATGAACCCACGCACTGCTGAGTACTGGGCGCGGAAGATCTCTGAGTTCCGTCGAACCATCCCCGCTGACGGGCTGTGGTGCGACATGAACGAGCCCTCCAACTTCAAGGCCTGGGAGCCGCTCAACGAGTACGACGACTCGCCCTACCGCATCAACAACACCGGCATTCACCGCAACCTTAATAACAAGACCGTGCCCGTCTCCGCGGTGCACTTCAATGGTGTGTCGGAGTACGATGCGCACAACCTCTACGGCCTCCTCGAGTCGCGGGCCACGCATGATGCTCTTCTCAAGGACACGGCACGCCGCCCCTTCGTGCTCAGTCGCGCCACGTTCGTCGGCTCGGGGCGCTACACCGCGCACTGGACCGGCGACAATGCCGCACGGTGGGACGAACTCGCGCACTCCATCAACACCATCCTCAACTCTGGCCTTTTCGGCATCCCCATGATGGGCGCCGATATCTGTGGGTTCAACGGCAACACGACTCAGGAGCTCTGCAGCCGCTGGATTCAGCTTGGTGCATTCTACCCGTTCGCGAGGGCTCACGCAGAGAAGACAACCGTCCGGCGAGAGCTCTATGTGTGGGAGCCAACGGCACAATCAGCGAGGAAGGCGTTGGGGATGCGGTACCGGATGCTCCCCTACATCTACACGCTCATGTTTGAGGCGCACACAACGGGGGCACCCATAGCGCGCCCGCTCTTCTTCTCCTACCCTCAGGATGCCGACACCTACGGCGTGGACAGGCAGTTCCTGCTAGGCCGTGGCGTGCTTGTCTCACCGGTGTTGGAGGCGGGCGCCACCACCGTGGACGCCTATTTCCCGGCCGGCCGGTGGTTTAGTCTTCACGACCACTCCCCCGCCATCACCTTGCAGACCGGCAAGCGCGTGACGCTCCCGGCGCCAGCGGACTCGGCAAACGTGCACCTTGCCGGCGGCAACATACTACCACTGCAGCAGCCGGGCCTCACCACGTCCGCCACACGCCAAAGCGAGTTCCACCTCCTTGTGGCGCTCGCGGAGAACGGCACCGCCAGGGGTGAGCTGTTCTTGGATGACGGGGAGTCGCCAGAGATGGGCGGGATGGGAGGCAACTGGACCCTGGTGAGATTTAGCTGCAACACGGAGGATAGCAAGGGCATCATCACGACCACGGTGAGTTCCCATGTGGTGCAGAACTCGTACGCACCGAGCCAGACTCTGGTCATCGGCAAGGTGATCTTCATGGGGCTCCCGTCGCCACCAAAGGGGTTCACCGTCTATGTAAACGGCGTTGAGCTCAAGGCAGCCGGCACCAAGTCCCGGACGAATGGAGTGTTCAGTGTCAGTGGGCTGTCGCTGGTCATCGGACAGCAGTTCGAGATCAAGGTCGTCATGTCCCATTAACATCGAGACCATCTGTGGACATTTCTTTATCTGAATAATAAAAACTGAATGTTGGCAGTATCGTTTCCAGTTCTGACTTCTAACATGCATTGTTCTTAATCGGGGAGCTTCTACTCATTTGAGAGAAGCAAATAATGTTTTTTGATCTGAAATTGGTCCTTGAGAATCTTTCTGTTGGAGAGGGAACTGTACGGTCTTTTACTCACTAGGACATTTTTAAAATATAAGTCTTTTTAGAGATTTTCATGCAAACTTCATACATAGCAAATGAGTAAACCTACATTCTAAACTATGTCTATATATCTCTATGTGTAGTTTTCATTGAGATCTCTAAAAAGACTTATATTTAGGAACGGAGAGAATACTCTCTTCATCCGAAATTACTTGCTGCAGAAATTAATAAAAATAGATGTATCTGGAACTAAAAAATGTCTACATACATCCATTTCTTCGACAAATATTTCCGAACGGAGGGAGTATAAAGGCACGTACACCATACAATAGATCGGATTGGAACCAAAAGCTCGATCTCTGTTTCACAGTTGACGAAATATAGGTCAATGCCTTGAGTTGTTTTGTTCCACAAAAATCAACGTCGTGTCAAGTTGATTTGCTTCCTCCAAAATTAAGTTCTTGCTTATTGGTTGTCGTTGTGGTCTGGATATGTAATTACAGGCCAAGTTACAACAGAGTTGCAGCTCCAAGGGTCGAGAAGACTGCAACAGGTGGCCGATGAGTTTTGCCATCGTAGTAATGGATGGGAACCTTTTGTAAGGACTAAGGAGGATTACTTGCTAGTAAATGGAGAAGGGGAAAAGGAGGTTTATGCTATGGAAGACGGACCGGCTTTGTTTTCATTGGCAAAATAGGCTATGGTTATGCCTGTAGATGCTACTTCCACCGTAAACTAATATAAAAGTATTTAGATAACTAAAGTAGTGATCTAAACGCTCTTATATTAGTTTACGGAGGGAGTAGGATTTATCTTTTGCGTTGTATGCTTCAAAAGTCTGAAGTTGTTGTTTCAAATCATTATCAGCGGGAAACCACCCTCACATCCGAAGAGAGTGGTCTTTCAGCAGCTAGGTGTCTGTACACCCTGGTATCTGGACCGTTCATGTAGAACCCAACTCGTCGAGATCTATACTAGGTCTAGTACCACCAGTTTCATTAGCAGGCTAGTAGAACGTAAGCGCGTGAGACTGTCAATGCTGGGAGAGATGCAGCCACATGAGCATAGAAATAAGAGATATTCTTTATTCACTGTACACTGTAGCAGATAGGCCTATGAAGCTGTAAGTCGGTTCTTGGATGAAGTCACAGCCGCTAGGACCTACAATGTTGTGAGTGGGCTGCCACTGTGAGATTCTCGTCTCCGACATGGCGTATGAGATAATACAAAACCACGTGAGCTCTACATTATCTATTTCACAGTTCACACAACCGATGCATCATGGGAAACACGTTGACAATTAACGGTGCTAGTCTAGCTATTATGGGGAAATACCGAATGGTTCCTGGGGACATCTGTCCCCGGAATCTCGCCATTCATTCAGACGTGATCTTCAACCCGTCTATTAGTATACTTTGACTTTCTTTTGTATTATCTCTTTCTCTGTTTTGTATTCGATGCCTTCGGACAGCAAGGGCCCATCCTCGCATTTAACCAACCGGCCAACTCACCCTGACACGCATTAACCAACTCAGCTTTTCAGTCCATTTGCCTGGTACTTCCACTACAACACGACTGACATTACAATGCGATCGAAAATGCCTCCAAAAGTCACAAGAACGCCGTTATATATGTGCCGGGGCATTTCTGAAAACGCCGCTAAACTTGATTAACGGAAAAATGTAATTATAGCTAGCCGGAAGGTTTATCTTGGCTGCCTTCTCTCTCTCTGCATCTTTTATTTAATGGAAAGCCCACCGGAAGGCTCTATCTTACTCTTATCTCCCAAGCTCGACTCATGGTGGGCTGTCAAATCAAATAATGGCACCGCGCTGGTCAGGCCCATTAGGGGAGGCGCTAGTTGATTGTTCTCTGTTTATAAGAAGGTCAAACACTTGTTCCCTAAGCGGTATGGGACTAAAACTGCTCAGGCGGAGAGAGACGCAGTCAAAGAACTGACGGGTCAAAGGCCGCCGCCAAATTCCTCCGCCCAGGATGGAGCTTTCGACCTCGACCACCAGCTGTTACGCTCCAGACGCAAATACGTACAGTAAAAGATTGCAGCCGCTCTCGTCCGATTGCAGCCTAATTTTTTCATCCAAGCTGATCAAAGCTCGTTCCTTGCGAGGCGTTCTGGGAAACGCCTCCAAAGCTCTTCGATGTGAGGCATTCTTGAAAAATGCCTCCGAAGCTCATTCGATGCGAGGTGTTCGGGAGAAAGGCCTCCAAAGCTCGTTCGATGCGAGGCGCTCTGAAAAAATGCCTCCGAATCTCGTCCGATGCGAGGGGCTCTGAAAAAAAGTGCCTTCGAAGCTACGTTAAGATAGAGGCGATTTTGGAAAATGCCTTCTAATACATAGTTTTGGGGCGTTTAGATAAAACGCCCTTAATAAAGTGCCTTCTAATGACGTCTGTGTTGTAGTGTTCTTGTCTCAACAGCGTCGACAAATTTTGAGTAGCGTAACGAAGTCCTTGAGCACAACTCTGTACTTTAAATGCGACCAGATATATTAATCAGCCTACTATTCATTTCATATTATTCGCTAACACCTTTTCACCATTTGCCTACTGCACACACATTTTATTTATAAAAACTGATTTGAAAAATGTTAGGGAAAAGATATGTAGTAATAAAATTGATGCCGCATGTTAAGAAAAAGTTCATACATACCAGGAAATACTTTGACCCCATATTAAAAAAATACTTTAGAGAAAAATTACCCCTTTGTTACAGAATTTTTCCTATGTTCTGGAAAATATCATGACAGTTTGAAAAAAAATGTCCATTTACATGTTAATGAAAAAAATGCTCATTACTCCTACATGTTAATGGAAAATGTTCATCTAGAAATAAATTACTCCCTCCGTTCCATAATGTAGCGCATATAGATTTTCTACAAAGTCAAACTTTATAAACTTTGACCAAGTTTATAGAAAAAACTATTTATATCTACAATACCAAATGTATATAATATGAAAGTATGTGTTGTGATGTATCTAAGCACACGTATTTGGTATTCTAGATGTATATGATTTTCTCTACAAACTTGGTCAAAGTTTATAAAGTTTGACTTCTAGAAAAATCTATATGCGCTACATTGTGGAACGGAGGGAGTATCATTATCCGTTGACTGCTCCATTTCATGTACATGATCAAGAATATATATTCGTAATTGTGAAATTGGTTTGTGTTGTGAGAAAAGAATAGATTCTGATATAAAGAGTAAGAAAGTATTCAATTAATACATACATGAGTTTATCGCCGAACAAAGTTATTTTTTGAAAAGTTATTGTAGATATATTTTCGAAAAAAGTTTTGTCTTCCAAATTTGACTTCTGTTTCAGAACATGTAGACTTATATTTCATCTAGAAGACCATATTACCGACATATTTATTCCTGTTCCAACTAATCGGCCGCATCCAATTTAATTTGAACCAACTTCCAATTCAACGGACCTCGCAAAAAAGAAACTTCCAATTCAATAGATAACAACTTAGTAAATACATTCCCTGACACATGCACCGTTCTGTCTCAGTAACAGAACATTTAACTGCAGTGGCTGCAAAACGCGTCTTGCTACTGTGCGGGATGATGTCCTCTCATGTGCCAAGCGACGTACTACAACACTGTTCTTCTCAAGTATATCCACTTCCACACCTGCACTGCCTTCCGTATATCATAAATCGCTACTTTAGCAACGCATCGTGATGCACTTGTTGATGATCTAGATACCGGGGACATATAGTGCCAGGGACCAAACGTCCGCCTCCAGCTATTATGTCGTTTTCTAAAGAGGAAGAGGCGTGAGCTGTATGCTAGGAACGAGAATCTTCCATCAGGTAGCATATGAACTTAGTGCATGTTTTTGGGTCGCGCGATGGTAGCATGTGAATTGATGATGCATCATATTCCACAGCCGTAAGAAAGGAGCTGTTCGTTGTATCGTACAATACTAAAAAGGTAGTTGTTCGATCTATAAAAAAACTGGTCTTGGTACCATCACTTGTCTGCCCATGTTTTTCTGAGTTGGCAATGGGAAAGGAGCGGCACACTTGCTCTGAGTTGTGTGCCTGTGCCTAGTGCCTCCTATCTCACGGAGGCGCCAGAGGCCTATACCTGCTGCCTACCCTGTGCCCTACATCTCCCTAGCAGGAAGAGTACATTACTAATTAGCTTGGCAAGTGGCCGGCTAAAGCAAGCTCCTGCTGCAAATGCTTTGTAGTTCGTCAGACCACCGCACGAATCTATGAGGAACAACCCCTAACATGCAAGGAGGGTCCGCTTCGTCTAGGGTTTGGGCGACGGGCGCTTCCCCACCGCTGCCGCCTAAACTATCCGACGGAAGCAAATCGGATCGCCGGGAGGATTCCTCTCGGGCCACGAATCTGATGTACACGGTGTCTACGAGTCTAAGCCGTATCCATCAGGAGTCAGTACACGCCACGCGTGAGGGACGCCCGACTTGGCCCGGGATACAAAAACCCTAGACCCTGATCGCCGCTCCTCACGAAATCTGGGAAGGAGTGCAAAACCTCCAGATCAATACACGAGCAAAAGCCGCCGCAAGCACGAGATGTTTTCGATCGATCCTAAGGCGATGGGTGGGGTGATCATGGCGGATCCGGTGAGGATCCTATCCACCCGAAGCCCGTCGGTGGTGGGGCGATCGTGATGTCGAGACATGCGGCCGCGCATGTGGATCGGAAGGAGGACAGGCAGGAGAATAGTAATTGGGATGGGCCAACAGCGGAAGGTGTCATGCCGGAGGGAGCGGAAGATCAGATTGCAGGTGAGGTGGACATGGACGACGTCGCCTTTGTTGCGGT